TCCTGTTGTAAATCAAGATTTTATCTGCCTCCTTCCAGGCCTGTGCTTCAGATAGCTGCAAGTCACTTAAAGTTTTGAGGATAGCTTTTGAAAAGTTGCTGTTGTATAAGTGCATCGCTGACACGTGTCAGTCAAAGAATCGTAGATGGTGAGGGTTGGAGGGGACCTCAGGAGGTCACATCTAGTCCAACCCCCTGCTCAAAGCAGGACCATCCCCAATTAAATCACCCCAGTTGAGGCTTTGTCTAGCCGGGGCTTAAAAACCACCAAGGATGGAGACTTCACGACCTCTCTGGGGAGCCTGTTCCAGTGTTTCACCACCCTCCTAGCGAGAGAGAGTTTTCTCGTATCTAAACTAACCCTCCCTGGCTGCAACTTGAGACCGTTGCTCCTTGTTTTGTCATGTGCCCCCACTGAAAACAGTTCAGCTCAGGGGTGGGCAAAATGACAGATCTGGCTGGTGCCTGGACTCCATTTCCCAGCAGCCCCTGCCCATGTCCCTGCGGCCAGTTTCCATGGAGACCCCAGGAGCAGCAGGGTTTCCAAGGAGACAGGCCCCAGCAGCGCTGGCAAGGCATGTGGCTGGGCTGGGGTCTTGCAGTGGTGACAGCATGGTCTGGAGCCAGGGCAGAGCCCCAGTCCGCTACCTGCATGTCCCTGCCCGGGGTGTGTGGCCAGTGGATCACAGCTCTGCCCCAGCTCCGGACCACCCTGTCACTGCCGGAGGAGCCCAGCTCCAAGGCAGCTTCCTGCCTGCTGCGTGCCCTGCCCACGCTACCGGGGCTGGTCTCCATGGAAACCCTGGCCTCACGCTGTCACAGCCCTGTCACTCCTGGGGTCTCCATGGAAGCCAGCTGCAGCAATGCAGGCAGGTGCTGCTGGGAAATGGAGTCCACTGCAGGCCCAACCCGATCTGGCGGCCGGACTTTACCCGCCCCTGGTCTAGCGCCATCCTTTTTGGAACCCCCCCTTCAAGGAGTTGAAGGCTGCTGTTAAATCCCTGCTTTAAGTGACTTGCAGCTATCTAAAGCACAGGCCTGGAAGGGAGCAGAAAAAAATCTTGATTTACAGCAGGAGTTATTGGGGAAAAAATAATTAATTTCAGTGAGTCTAAGGTCAGGAAATCAGTTCAGTATCAACAGTCTTCTCTTCTCCAAACTAAATAAGCACAGTTTCCCTAGCCTCTCCTCAGAAGTCACGTCCCCCAGCCGCCTCACCATTTTCATTGCCCTGTGCTGTTCACCCTCCAACTAGTCCGCACCCTTTCTGTAGTGGGGGGGCCCAAAACTGGACACAGTACTCCAGACGTGACCTCACCAGTGTTGAATAGAGGAAAACGCTTGCTTCTCTTGATCTGCTGGCAATGCTTCAACTAATGCAGCTCGGTATGCCATTACCCTTTGCATCAAGGGCACACTGTTGGCTCATATTAGGCTTATTGTCCCCTGGTCCTTTTCTGATCCCAACCTGTACTGGTGCACGAGATTGTTCTGTCATATGTGAAGGACTTTGCACTTGTCCTTATTGAACTTCATGAGATTTCTTTTGGTTCAGTCCTCCAATTTGTCTAGGTCTGAATCCTAGCCGTACCCTCCAGCATATCTGCCACTCCCCGCAGCTTGGTGTTATCTGCAAACGTGCTGAGGGTGCAATCCATCCCCATTTCCAGGTCATTGGTGAAGATATTGTACAAAACTGGCCCCAGGACCAAGCCCTGAGGGCACTCCACTTGATACCAGCTGCCAACTAGACATCGAGCCATTGATTGCTACTCTTTGAGCCTGAGGATCCAGCCAGTTTTCTATCTGCTTTACAGTCCAGTTATAAAACCCATGCTTTCTTAGCAACCTTGCAAGAATGTTGTGAGAGACCAAGAAAGTCAAGGTATATCACATCCACTGCTCTCCCCACATCCACAGAGCCAGTCATCTCGTCATAGAAGGCAGTCAGGTTGGTCAGGCATGACTTGCTCTTGGTGAATCCATGCTGCCTGTTCTTAATCAACTTTTCCAAGTGCTGAGAAACGTCCGAAACACCTTTGCACAAAGACCCGTTAGTCCTGTTGATTTCACCATGCAAGCTGAGTTGTTGGGTTTTTTTAGCAGCCTGCTTATTGCGCTGCATGAATAGCGTAGCGTATATCAGGATTAATTTAGCAAGGCCGATTCATAGGGAAGATTGCCTGCAATCTACTACATCTGAGAAATCAGTATTTCAACTTCAAAATCCATTTGAAGGTTAGCTTCGTGTGAAAGACGGCGTGGCCTCTGATAGTAGAGCAGTGGTCTTGGTGACCCAGGAGATTGCTCCCAGGTGTGTGTTTTGAACTCAGGGAAAGCTGCAAACCCATCTGTGAGTGCTCTTCTCTTCAGTATAGGTATTTTTTTTATTACAGATTACACAACTTTCTAAGTGTGTTAATTTTTCAATTTTAGGATGAACTTTCTGATGTTAGTCAAGGAGGCTCAAAATCTACTACTCCAGCATCAACAACAGCTTCAGATGTGCCTGTGCTACCTGCTGAAACTCCCCTGAAGGAGGAAGCTGAAGGGCTTGCAAAAAGCGCAGAGGTACTGAACAAGACATTGGATGTAAGCAAGCACACTGAAGTGCAGGTAGCTCAAGAAACGAGAACAGTGTCTATTGGTGAGTTTCTATCAGAGTTGGGGTGCAAGGTGGTAAAGAATGTGCTTTTTGTGCAGCTTAATACAAAATCCCACAACTGCAACCAGGAGGGGAAGTGATTCTACCTGGGACTGCTTTGTATAGGAGGGCCGAAGGTTGACAGGGTTGAACTGAAAGCCACTCATCTCTTGGGCTTGTTTTCCATAGCACATGAAGTCTGTTGACTTTGCTCCCTGGATTCTGTTTTGGAAAAAAAAAAAGAGCATTAGTTCATCTAGTCTGTCGTCTTTGTGGTTTTCTTTTTAATTTTTTCTTAAAATGTATTGTTGTTCTCTCTGGATTTAAATTAATTAATTAATAAAACTCGTATCACTTTCTTTCGGAAGATCTGCTCCATAATGTAAGGCCATGTCTCTGCTTTGTCTGAACGAGTCAATGCAGGTCAGCTGCAAAAGTAGGCAAGAGTAGGGTGTATTGAGTGTCAGTTCGGAAAGAATCTGAACTTTGCTCTGAGCACTATAAATATACATTTTAAATTAAATGCTTATTAATTCATTACACGCAGTATTCCTTGTACTTGGTCACCTCATCTGGTCTGGGATTTCTAGTGCCTGAACTGGAGTACCATGGAATTCACAGATCTTGCCTTAAAATACATGAGGTTGTCCAGGGTGACTTTATATGTGACACCTTTTGTGAAGCTAATGATGAGCAGAACCTTTCTTTTCTGTGACTGGTTTAAGGTGGCTTGTTTTATGGAGACTGATTTATTCCGCTTTCTAAGGTGGTAATGAAAATGAAGAAAAATCTGAAGTTCAGGCAATCATTGAGTCCACTCCAGAGTTGGATATGGATAAAGACCTCAGTGGCTATAAAGGTTCAAGGTAGGTCATATGTTCTGATTTCAGTAGACAATTTCCACATGTCAGAGGGTTCCTAAGTTGTGAGTCCTGAAGTAGCATAAGTGGCACCAGATCTAGATAGTGCAGGAGGCTCCAGCTTTACAGTGCTCCAGGTCAGAGTGGGATCTGAAGGGCTTCAAATGAATATATGGCCATGCCATTGAAACATTTTTCCCATTCCTAGATAAGGGTGCTATCTCTGTCAAAGGCTCAGAACATTAGCTTGTTACAAAATGGACTTTTATGGATTTATTTTCATGAACGTCTGTAGAATCTTGTATCTCCTCTGAAGCTGCAGCATTGCAGTGTTATCCTCTAGATTTGTAATGCCATGCAAAGCTTACTGGTGGAAATGTCATGTATCCCAACTGCATGCTCACCTTTAGCATGTTGACAGCATTCTCCTCAGTTCAGGGAGGCCCTTGATCTGGCCAGATTTGGGTACCTGTCTTTGAACAGATGAACATGATGAGACCCTAAGCCCTACCCCTTTTTTCTGTATCGTATTTCCAACTAGCTTGGGCAGCTCTTAGCGCACCTAGTTTGAGACTCCTGTCCTCTAGGTACCTAAGGGGTGGCTTGGGTGCCTAATTCAGTGAAGATTTTGCTGAGTGGCAGGATGCCTAGGAGCGAAGCACTGCAATATCAAAATGCCTTTCAGGACTTGGGTTTTCATTGACGTTATTTGTGAGAGAGGCCTCTAGTTCCCTAAGCTACTTAAGGACTTCTAGAAATGTTACTCAGAATGTTCCCATGTATAACAAATAACCTACAAATATAAAGCAACGCAGCATCTGTCTAAAGCCGCATGCTCCCTTTTCTGTAAAGCTCAATGCAGTGTTCGACTACTTACTCTTTTCTCTTCTTTCTTCCCTGTAACTGCAATCCCTGTGAGCAGCACTCCCACCAAAGGTATAGAGAACAAAGCATTTGATCGGAATACAGAATCGCTCTTTGAAGAGTTGTCTTCTGCTGGCTCTGGCCTAATTGGAGATGTGGATGAAGGTGCAGATTTACTGGGTAAGACTGGTTATTTGATGACACCGAGCCAGTTGCGTTAGTATTTTTTTCTAATTGATCACAACTTCCTGTATACATGCTGGGAATACTTTCAGGTTCGTTGCATTAAGATCCTCTTGTAGCAGCTTCCAAAGGGAGATTTTGGAGGGTTTTTTTTTGTTTTTTTGTTTTTGTTTTTTAAAGGGGAAAGGGTAGGGAGTGCCCAGGCGTGCTACTACATGGATGTGTTTCTTGCAGTGTGGAACACTCAGCTCTTCTCACTGAAGTGCTTTGTTGATATTCATGAATGATTTCAGTCGTCTTGTTTTAGCCTGTCCATGATGGGCTACACCATTAGCTTCTATTGTAACGCCTTATTGGATACAACTTAAATGGAGATAAAATAGGTATTGTCAGGAAGGGTTCTGGTCAAGATTAAAAAATGTACCGGTACACTCAATGATTACTTACCTTGACTGGCTTCAGAGAAGAACTCTTCCAGCTGCTGCACCTGAAGATGAACAGTTCTGATTTGTCAGTACAGGAAGTCAAAGTTCAGCTTGAATTTTGTGGGCTGATTGTATCTATTACAATATAAATCTATCATTATTTTAAAACGTTTTACTTGAACTGCCCTCTGCAGTTGCCAGTCTTGCATTTGAGAGCTTTGTGCCACGGTACAACTTTTTTCCAATTTCAAGTACTTAAATTTATGTTACTTGGATAACCTGTTGAGCCATCCCTTGTAATTCATGTCATTCATATTTGTAATTGGGTCTCTGAGAGAGGTTGTATTGCAATTACATAGCTAAACAAGTTTAAACCAGTTAGAATTTTAGTTTCTAGTGCTCTAAAGTGAGTTAATTGGGTTTCTCTAATGTTTTCTCTTGGGCTGCGCACCCAGGGGAATATTCTGGTGTGTATCCTTTTAAATACTTTGAAATCTATCGCTTTTACAGTTAGGCGTTCTTGGCTGCTGCTTTCATACAATACATTCTCCACATTTTTTTCTGCTTGGTAACATATTTTTGTCCTTGAATTTTTTTTTTCTTTTTTGGCTTTAACTTCCCCCCTCCCCACCCCCTTCAACTTTCTTGACAACTAGGGGTGCCCAACAGTTAAGGCACCTTGCATAAATCATCCTAGGTATTCACTTGACCTTTGGTATCTGAAAATAACTTTCAAAAAAGCAAAACGGTTCTCTGAAAAAAAGCCTCCTGATAATTGGTATAGAGAAGGACTTCTGTGTTTTCTACAAATAGTACCAAAGTGAAAATACCTGATGGGTATCTGCTAAAACAAGTCTTCTAATGTTATCATCTTATTACTTGTCATCAGAATCAATAAAAGCGGAATATGACACAGTCATTTGTCAAAAGGTTTAAATAAATTTTAGAATTTCTATTTCAGAAAGACTATTTTAGTGGTACGAAAAGAACTGATCTTTCTTGTATTTAATAGGCTTGTTTTTTGCTTTAGCAAACAATCTGGAAGACTCTGCTGCACATTTGTTAGTGCACACTTCTCTTTCAGGGTAATCCCTTACTTGCTTTGCTATGAAATGCTGGCCTCTAATTTGACACATAATGTCTTCTGTTATCGATATGGAGATATAATGCCAGAGTTAGTTGTTTTTAGTACAAATTAAGAAACAAGACATACCATCCTTATTGCTATTTTGTTTGCACATTTTAAAAAATTACAGTACTTTAAAATCTTACAGTAGATCCTTCATAACCTTCAAGCATACAGACAGTGGCCAAATGCAGTAAATTCTTAGAGAAATTCAGTATCAGTGAAATCAGTTAAATTCAGCACGTCATTTTTTTTTAAATAATAGCTTATTTAGTCTACATTTCTTCCTGATTTGGTTTAGTAGTCATTTAAAATACTACATTTTAGAAATTCGTTATAGAAGAGAACATCACCTTTTGTAATCCTCTATACACTTTAGTAATTCAGGTTGTTTCAGGGTAACTTGTTTGGTAATACACCTTTTTATATACATTTTTTTTACTATCTGTCTGGCATTTCAGTCTGCTTTAAACTGCAGTTTACTTCATTTCATTGTTTTGCTGTTGGCTTTGCTTTGGTTCACTCTTACCGTTTAGAAGTCTCTAGGTTTATTATTGCTCTTCACTCATACTTCTTACGTGAAATGTTTCTTGTTCTTGTTTGTGCTCTACATGGAATGCATGGCCTTTAAAGACCATAATTTCTTTGGTAAGGTATCATCTGCTTTTGGGAGATCTTACTGTGCTCTTGAACTCTGAGTTCTCTGCAGATCTTGTGTGTTATAACATATACCATCTTTAACCTCTTTGCAAAAGGCTTGAATTCTAAATTGTGACTGGTTTAGATGTTTGGGCCAACTTTCTCTATTAGTGCCCTTTACTTTCTGTTTGAAATAATAGTAACTATAAAGCAAGATTAAAAGCATATAGTTTATTTGGGGAGAAAACCAGCAAACTGTATTGGCTATGAGCCAGGACTGCCTTTAAGCAACACTTAAGGAGAGAGAAAAGTACAACTAGGTAAAAAGGGCCAGGTACAAATGCTTTAGGTATTTGCTATGAGGATTTTTTACTTTGCTGCTTTGAGCTGCTTCAGAATACCATGTATTCTGCTATTTAGGTTAAAAAAAGATTGAAGTGTAGGTTAATCACATTTTAAATAAAAATTAAGTAGCCTTTAACTGGTTTGTTATAAAAATAGTTTGCTTTTTTCCCCTTTAATTCATTCCCATGTTCTGTTTTTGAAAGGAATGGGCCGTGAAGTAGAAAATCTTATTCTGGAAAATACCCAGCTGCTGGAGACCAAGTAAGTCAGCCTGTAACACCTTGTCCTCTCCCTCCAGTGATCCTTTCTAGGCAGGCACAGAGCCAGAGAGGATCTCTGAGAGGCACTGAAACCGTTTTACTTTTAGCACTAGCTAAGCAATATTGATTAGCATTCAGAGCTGTCACTTCTGCATACTGCATTTGTCTGTGAATGATGCACAGTGTATTTGATTTAGTCTAAAGGGTCACATCAGCCTATCACTGGCACTTTTGCTCTCTGCCAGTGTCCTTCACTCTTGTTAACAAGGGGAGTGCTAAAATGATACATAAACTGATGATAAAGATCAGGAAATCTTGTACTCTTTCAATACAGTGAGAGCTCCTAAGGAGAGAACAAGCATAGTATGAGATGCAGACATCTGCATTCAAAGGAACTTAGCACCCAGGTCCTGCAATTTTTCTCGGATGTGTATTTTATGGCTTCAACACTGTCCTTCCTTATGGAACGTTGAGGCTTCAGATGGCCAGGGTGTTAGTTTTATTATTTTGGCCGCAATAGCCTAGCAGTTTGTCTCGTAATGGAGTAGCAGCACACTAACTTTTATTTATACACGTGTCTAGAGTTTGCAGCATACCACCAAGCAGTCTTTTTGCAACCATACCACTAAAACTTAGAGAATCAGGAACTTGGTGAAATTATAATACTGTGACAATGAAAGCCAGTATTTTTGCACTGTTTCCATCTGTTTTGACAACCAACTGAAATGCCACGTGGGAACTTGGCCTCTGAGCAAATTGTTCCAATGCTATATTTTAAGTTCACTTGGATACTTTTACTTAGATACTGGTTAGCAGCTTTTAAGGTGAAATGGCAATTTTTAATTACACTTGTTTCCATTACAATGGTCCAAATTCGTTTCAAGTTCTTCATAAGTTTGCTTTTGAACAAGGTAATGTCCTGCCTGCAACACTATATAGCAGTGGTTTCCAACCTTTTTGTGGTGAAGATCACGTTTTGCAAGTAAAGGGCATCCTGGGATCTACTGCCCTGCCTCCTGGACAAGCCGCCTGAGCTCTGGCCCCACTTGCCTGGCCTGGGCAGCAGGGGGCATGGCTCAGCCCAGCCATATGCATCCTACCGCTCCTGATCGTGGAGCCTCTGGCAGACTGAGAGAGACTGTCAGAGGCTCCACAATCGACCAGTCTATTGAGATTGACTGGCTAGTGACCACTGCTATATAGGGAAGTTATTTGCAGATGTCCAGATGTGGGAAGTAAACTTTGCTGTTTACTGTGAGGTTGCAGTTCTAACCATGTGTTTTGTATCTCTCTCAGAAATGCGTTGAATGTGGTAAAAAATGATTTGATAGCAAAAGTGGACGAGCTGACCTGTGAAAAAGATGTACTACAAGGAGAACTGGAGGCTGTAAAACAAGCCAAACAGAAACTTGAGGAGAAGAACAAGGAGTTAGAAGAAGAGCTTAAAAAGTCAGTTTGATACTTTCCTCGTGAAAGTTGGGTGCACATTCTAATACTGCTTAGTTAACATGTCTCTTTTCTTGTCTTCTGTTTTCTGTAGAGCACGTGCAGAAGCAGAGGAAGCAAGGCAGAAAGCAAAAGAGGATGATGATGTAGGTGTATATATTTTAAAGTGAAGTTTGGACTAAGCATTTTTCTAATGTACCATCACATTGGCTTAATTCTGTGAACCCGACAGCTCAGTTAAGCATGCAACTCCGTCTAAGGCAGAGCTGCACAATTTAAATGTCAAGTGGTGATTTACAAAGACTAACCAGCTTTATATCCTTCCTTTCCACTATTGCATATGACATTCCATTCCCTTTAGCAACCTGGTTTTGAATCCCTTAACACTGGCCAGTTGAATTCTGGGTTGAATTCAAGGTGTTAGTTTTGGCCTACAAAGCTCTGAACGGTTTGGATCCTGGCTACCAAAGTCCTGCCTTGAATAATTTAGTAGCATTATAGTAATCCAAGAAACTAATTCAACTGACACTATTCCAGTCAGCTGGGTGCTGGCTTTACCTGTTTCTTTGTACTGAAAGCTTGCTTTTACTTTATGCAGAGTGATGTCCCCACTGCTCAGCGGAAGCGTTTTACTCGTGTTGAAATGGCTCGCGTTCTGATGGAAAGAAATCAGTACAAAGAGAGGCTGATGGAGCTTCAGGAAGCTGTGCGATGGACTGAGATGATAAGGTAAATACAGAAAGGATCTTCTGATCTTTTAATAATTTGCTAACCAGTTGTACCCCAGAATCAGTGGTCTAGTCTTGGGCCACTGAGCTCATTCAGTCATTTTGTAAGATATACTTCTGAGCCTCTGTGCGACCTTGAACTAGCTCCCCCCCCCCCTTGTTAAACAGCTCCTCTGTTTATCCTTTTACTTTTTTATGTTGTCAAATTAAGCCGTAATCCATTAACAGTTTAAGCAAGTGTTCAACTTGGCATACTGTGCAGTGTGTACCATTGAAGGAAAAGGGAGTACAAGCACTGTATGAGGTTAAGTACATGTATAAGTGTTTGCAGTCCTAGATTGTATTTTTAATGTAGGAGAAATTTTCTGCTCTGTCCAGTGTCTAGCCCAGTGGTTCTCGACCTTTTTTTATAGACTCAAGACAGCTCTTAGAAAATAGCAGCTCTTAGTTTGCACTTGATTGATTTATTTGTTTGTTTATTTATTGACTACTGAAAAAAGAGCAATTCTTTTGTTGCAGAAAAATGCAGGAAGGTCATAGGGGTCCGAATCGTTGGACACTGGATTCCTATTTGAAATCTCTGGGTTTATCTTGTGAATTATGTGTAGGTGTTTGCACACCTAACCACTAATATTGAGTGGCACCCTGCAGCACCCTTAAAAGGATCTCAGGGTGCCAAAACACCCTGGCGGAGAATTACTGCTCTACACCAAGGGGCACCGAAGACAGGTAGGGTTTCCGAGTAATTTTGAGTCTCTTGGACAACTCAAGAAAATCAAGATGAGTTACAGGAAAACAGTAGGGGTGTGCAAAACGGGCCCTATTCAGTTCGGATTCAGGACAGCGATACAATTCATTGATTCAGATCGCTGTCCCTGATTTGATTTGGCTGAATCCTAATCCTGAAGATTTGATGCTGATTCAGAGAATCAGCAATTCAGACGTAGATGCAGCTTTTAAAAGTGTTTTTCTACATACCTTGAGGTAGCAGGCACAGCTTGTAATCGCTGTGATGCTGGGGCGCATGGAGCATCCCACAGGAGTGCAGGGAGGCCCTCCGTGTGCTCGGCGTCGAACCTGGAAGTACTTCCAGTCCACTTCCAGGTCTGCCAGGGAGTGCGCTGCCCCTCCTCCCCCCCCACGCCCCTCCGGCTCGGCGATTGGCCGCAGAGGGATCCCGGTACCCTCCCAGACCCAGGAGGCACCAGTCACCAAGGTGGGGGGTGGGGGGAGGTCCAGTGTGCTCCCTGGCAGACCCAGACGTGCTTCTGGTCCACTTCTGGGTCTGCTGCCGAGCATGCTGGGGAGCCCCCTATGCTTCTGTGGGACACTCCATGCGCCTCAGCATTGCAGCATTCATGAGCCGCCTGCTACCTAGAGGTATGTAGAAAAAACATTTAAAGCTGTGTCTATGACCGAATCTCTCCGAATTGGTTCGGAGGGTTTCGATTCGATTCGGAGAGTTTGAAGGGGGTCGTCTGATTCGATTTGGAGATTTGGCCACCAAATCAGCTGAATCTCCACCAAATTGAATCGGGGACTGAAGCATTATGCAACCCTAGAAAATGGTCCTAATGAGCCACTGTCCCGAATGTTGAAGAAATTACCCAGGAGGCGGATGTCCAGAAAGAATGCTAACTAATCATGTCTTTTCACTTCTGACCTCAATATGGTGCTTCCTCTCGTTGCCCTACTTTCTTATCAAAAAGTCAAAGGTCCGTTGGAGCTTAGTTAGCCCATTGAGCTAGTGCAGTTAGGGTATAACCGGGCTTGTATCCAGCAGCATGGAAGAGGGATGTGACCGGTGTGATATATAAACTTGTATACAAACATCCCAAATAAAAGGGTACCATTTAAAGGTGGGTGCGTCTTTCAGCATGCAAGACTCAAATTCCTACCCCTGGATCCATAGTTTGTCTATTGTTATACTTGGTGCCACACACTACCCAGTAATTTACTACCACAGCATGCTGTCATCTAGTGGCTAAGTGTAATGATTGCATCTAACTTTTACTTTTCTATAATGCTATCCTTAAAATATAGTGTGGATGCAAACCATTTGGCTCTGAACTTTGGTGTATTAAGGCATCTTAAGAAATGCTTGACCCTGTAACAAGTCTTGCTCCTCTGTTTCTTCTTTCCTGCATATTAGTAGTTGGTTTGTGTTCATTTGTCATTCCCTTTCTCCACGTGCCCCTCTTCCCCCCCACCAGCTTTAAGCTGAATGAGGATAAGTTTAAAAATAAAACCAGTTTAAAAAAAAAAGGTGAGAGTCAAAATGAAATATGTGTATCTGATGTTGAACAGAGTGCAAAAAAATAGTTGGGATAAAATGATAGTAGTAATTCTCTTGCATTCTTCCCCCGAATGCTTTGTCTTCACGTTCTGAACTCTGGCACAAAGTCTTGTTTCCATGTGTGAAGAGTGTAGTACCCACTATTCTTCTGAGAGCTATTTGAATGATAATGAAGCTATGCTCTCTTCTGCAGTTCCCCCTCTCTATGTGGTCTTACTCACTAAAATCCGCATACAATTCACGTAAGCACCCTTCTCAATTTCTATTATCTCCTGTGAATTGATCTTCTGAAATGTTACGTATTGTTTTCCAGTTAATTGCCTTCTTTCATGACGCTGTTTGAGAATTTTGATCTCCAATTTTTAAAGCTGTTTAACCACTAAACCAAGTTTTTCTTGGTGAAAGTTGCTTGAACAGCATCCACTGAGGTTTCCGTGCTTACAAAATGACAGCGTAAAAGAGAGCTGGTTTTGAAGACTAGGTAGATAAAATGTGGAGAATGTTCATCTAACTTGCTGAAAGAGGCATTCTTTTTAGTAGGTGCTGAGTTTGTGCTCCCTTATTTGATTTTTGTGAAAAAAGCAGGCATTGACATTTTCAACATCTATTGTCTTGACTCAAAGCAGTGCCTCATTTAAAGGAAAGGTGTGCGCACTACTGTATTCCTCACCTTTTGTGTTATTGCTTATCTAATCAACTTGGGTTTCTCTTTAGAGCATCAAGAGAAAATCCAGCCATGCAAGAAAAGAAGAGATCAAGCATTTGGCAGTTGTGAGTATTGAAATACAAGCACCTGCAATTAAAAAAAACAAAAAAACAAAAAACAAAAACCCTCAAAACCACAATAGTTAATTTAAAATATATTTGTTTTGTCGGTTAATCATCGTTGGAATGAAGCTGTTTACACTGATGTTTAGCACACCAGCTTGGTGTGGCTGTTCTCAAAGACGCAATGTATTTTAAGCTACCTTGTGTAGTGATTGGTTATGGCACTCGGTGGAGCAGAGTTAAAATATTAAATCCATAATATATTGAAATAATGGATTGTTTAGGGTTTTTTAAATCTGAAGATGAACTGGACTCTGCTTTCTTTAGGCATTTTGGCAGCCTCCTTTCCTAATAATGTAAAAAAAATAGGGAGAAATGTTAGTAGCTTTTTGTACGGTCACTATATTTCAACTTTTCCCCTCTGAAACAACAGTTACTAATTGATGTTTAGTGTTACTATATTAAACCTCAAGTTATAAACAATTTAATTGAAACGGGAAACAGATGTTGAAATCCAGGTAAAAGTTCTCCTACTGCTGTCATTGTTTATTGGTAATAGTTCACCTGTGTACTATAAGATGTTGAAAGACATTGGATGAAAACAACATTTCTTAGTTCCTGATTAATATTCAAGTGAAACTTAAGACCTCACTTTCCTTTAAAGGAAGAGGATGGAGTCATGCCATTGTTTGCATCAGCAGTCTTCCTGTTGACGTGGGTTCCAAAATTAAGGCCGTGCTTAGGCAGTTAATAAGCCCGTAATGGCTGCTATTTAGTTCCAGCTTCTCCTGACTTCTTACTTGTTGCTTTGAATGGGATAGCATGGGCAGTGCTGTTATATACAGATGGAAATGAGTTCTCTTG